CAGCCTTTCTAATCGCCCGATTGAATGAGACGTAGGTGTCTTCTTCTTCATCGACCAAATAACCGTCACAAAATAGGCCCAAAGCTACAGGGTTATCCAAAAGTAACTTTAGGATGTTGAATGTAGAATAATTGTGAAACTCCATATTTGTTTTCTGTCACTTTCGTTTCCTTTTAACCTTCAATGATAGGCAATTTTAACGACGGAGTCGTACACGATTGAAGAGCGTGTTAAAGTTATTAAAATTTATCTGAAAAACCAATGTTCGATAAAAAATGCCTATCGTAAATTACGTGACTTTTTCGGCATACGTAATCGTCCATCTGAGCAAACAATTCGAAATTTGGTTAAAAAATCTGATAAAACTGGACCTTCTGGTTCGCGGTGAACCAGAATCTGTCAGACCAGAAACAGCCCGTTCGAATGAGAACATTGCTCCCGTTCGTGAAAGTATTGCTAAATGAACCATCAACATCAAAATTCCACGTTGTTTTTGAGAATTGAACATTTCTTATGGCAGTCGGCGGCGAATTTTGCATAAAGATTTGCATTTGCATGCTTACAAAATTCAATTTACATTAAAAGAACGTAACCATTTGCAACGCAGAAATTTCGCTGATTTGTTGTTAGAACATCGTTCAATCGATGTATTGTTTTCACACAACATTATCTTCAGCGATGAAGCTCGTTTCACATTGGATGGACACGTCGATTAGCACAATTGTCGCATATGGGGAGATGAAAATCCAAGAGCCATTCAAGAAAAATCACTTCATCAAGAAAAAGGTTACTGTTTGATGTGAATGGTGTATGTTACAATGAAATGGTTATTGATTATTTATGGCTGAAATTAAATGGAATCGACATGAGCAACGTTTACTTTCAAGAGGACGGAGCTACGCCACAAATAATGCGTGGTAACATCACATTACTGCGATCGAAATTCAATGGTCGATTAATTTCAAGAGAAGATGATGTGAATTGGCCACCTGGTTATGTATTATATTATGTATTATGTATTATGTATTATGTATTATGTATTATGTATTATGTATTATATTCGACTCGATTGGTCTTTTTTCTTCGGGGTTATTTGAAAAGCAAAGTTTATGCTAACAAAGCAGCAACAATTCATAACCTAAAAAAACGACATTATAAAAAAAATTGGTGAATTAAACGAGAAAATATGCCAAAATGTCATCGAAAATTTTGATATTCGAATTGATGTCTGTAAATGTGGTCGTGGTGGTCATTTAACAGATATCATATTTCACACATAATTGTCATAAATGATACTTGATAATTAAATAAAAAAACCAATAACTCTGTACGAAAACATGCAATTCTTCGAACCTCGAGTAATCTAATCCTGATCTTTAAGGTCCATTTATACAGAATGTGCACGGACGAGTCCGAGCCGAAAATGATACCTTCTGTACATAAACTTCTTTATTTGGATATAAACGCAAGGTTGCATCGTCGCGGTGGTTCAGAATACATTTACCGTTTCATATATTGGGTTGGCAACTAAGTAATTGCCGATTTGTTCAATGAAATAAAAATTTTTTTTTACTTGGAATGAAGTTTAATCTGTAATGTATTTTCCATTTTGTTCGATGACCTTTTGCCATCTCTCTGACAATTTGAAAATTCCACGCTCGTAGAAAGTCTGATCCTTTTCGGCCAAAAACTGAGTTAAGTGAGATTTTACAGTGTCATCGTCATTAAAAGTTTTACCACGAAGGAAGTTGTCCAGGGATCGAAATAAGTGGTAATCCGATGGCGCGAGATCAGGGCTATATGGTGGGTGTAACATCAGTTCCCAATCAATTTTTCGCCGAGTGGACAAAGACGTGTGCGGCCTAGCATTGTCCTGGTGGAAAGTGACACCTTTACGATTGACCAATTCTGGTCGCTTTTCCTTGACCGCTGCATTCAATTTGTCCAGTTGCTAACATCCACGGATAATAAAAAATATCATAATAATAATAATAACAACAACAATAATAATAATAACAATAATAATAATAATAATAATAATAATGATAATGACAATGACAATGACAATGACAATGACAATGACAATGACAATAACAATGACAATGGCAATGGCAATGGCAATGACAATGGCAATGGCAATGACAATAATAATAATAATAATAATAATAATAATAATAATAATAATTTTATAACATTACATTTACAGATATCATAAAAATGGGAGTGAGAGACATCTATAACTGAAATCGCCAATTACTTAGTTGCCAACCCAATACATGTGCATAATAATTGTATGCATGCATTGATGCCGATCCGACTCTTAAGCTCTTCCCACTCGGAACTACTGTATCCAAATCTCTTGAAATCCCTCCTTATCCTTCCACGTCTCGTCCACATGAGCTCGCTCTTTTTTTTCCACTGTTTCTGCCGAGATCCTGCTTACCATCTCACATTATCTGATCAGTATATACATATAGGCTTTATATATGTATAGAGACGGAACTCGTAGTGTAATCACTAGACTGCGGATTTTATGCGTATTTCTGTACGCGTATGTCTAATTAGTAACAATAAAAAAATTAAAGCGTTTAATAATATCGATATACTGCTTTCGATATTACCACTAAAATGATTAAAGAAGGAACGAGACTTGTAAGTCACTCCTGCTTTTCGCAACAGATGCAGGCAATTCTTATTTTGCATAAAGACCCGCGGCCTAGTAATGAAAAACAACTTCCCGTTTTCGACGAGAGATTTAATTGCAATAGTAATCGCATTGGACGAGAAGAATAGGAGTACAAGAAAGAGGAGAGAAAGGAATTGGTGCGCCCAACCAATTTGGAGAAGTCGAGAATCGGAAGGAGAACTTTTCTCATATAAACAATTAATTGGCCATAGTTCTACGTTTGTATAAATACTTTCGAATGTCAAAAGATTCATTCGACATTTGATTGAATAAAGTTAAGCCGATAATTATGAATGAAAACGTCATAAAAATGTCAATATCACCAACGGAACGTTTATATTAAATTTCATACAATTTTCAGAAGTTAACATCGTAATAAGAATGAGACGATAGAGTGAAGGTTAGGAAAGAATTGAACGAATTCGTTCAGAAATCGTTCATATATTCTTTAGGGCGAATCTTCTCCAACCCAAGGAAGAGGCTATTTTATGCCAAAATCGTGAACGATTCAAAGCAAAAACGTGCACTGGTCTCATTGTTAATAAAAACTCTACATACATCTTTCTGCAAATAAGCAAACGACCTCTGTGAACTATACTTATATATATATATATTATATAATAATATATAACTATATATTAATAATAATATAACTATACTTATATATATATTATTATATTAATAATAACTCGACAAGTGGGACGAAGTGCAAAATGATTTTTATGTCACTATTAGCAGAAAAATATACTGAAAATAATCCATCATTTCACAAAACGGAATGTTTGTGGAATAAGAAAGATATCCTGTATTAATAGTAAAAAGAATTTAACAAATTTTTCTTACCGTATTCAGCATAATGTTTCAACAAATATTTCTTATTGTTTGTTAATAAAAGATGTGATTTCCTATCGCAAAAGATTGGTCTTCACGTTAAAACAAATATAAGATACATATATTGAGTAGTATCATTAAAATAATTTAAAGAAGGACGACAGTTTTTACAAATAAAAATACTGTCTTCTCAATGAATATATTATTTAAAATTTGTACTGTATTTGATTAATTCCTCCAATTTTGAGGTTGCTGGACATGTAGAAGGTAATAAGCATTATTTAATCGCATAAAATGTTAGTCTGAAAATAATTCCACTTAGAATCGCTAATATGGGAACTTCGGGAACCGTACAATTGCAGCGTCATTTATCCAAACTTCAAGTTCTCTTACTAATTTGATTACTCCCCGAAAGACGAATATTCGTGACAGCTGTGACTAGGTTCGTTCGAATCTCTGCTTATCACCGAGCTACGGATTTTTTGAACGTATAACAAAAATGAGCACAGGAAACACAGAACTAGTAACAAGGTTGGAAGAATTTCAATATATTGTTATACTACTTTCAACGTGTATTGAACTTATCCAGAAAGGACATTTTTTGTATTGATATGATTTGCTGCGATCTAAGTAGAATATTTTTATTTTCATATTTAATTTAATTTAATTTAATCTTTTATTATTATTTTTCATACAAAGATGTATATTACTTTATTATTATTTATTTATTTGATTTATCATTACTTATTTATTTTTCATTATATTATTTTATTATTACTTGTACGAATCTTTCATTATTATTTTTCACACAAAGATATATATTACTGTATTATTATTTATTTATTTGATTTATCATTACTTATTTATTTTTCATTATATTATTTTATTATTACTTGTACGAATCTTTCATTATTATTTTTCACACAAAGATATATATTACTGTATTATTATTTATTTATTTGATTTATCATTACTTATTTATTTTTCATTATATTATTTTATTATTACTTGTACGAATCTTTCATTATTATTTTTCACACAAAGATATATATTACTGTATTATTATTTATTTATTTGATTTATCATTACTTATTTATTTTTCATTATATTATTTTATTATTACTTGTACGAATTTTCTATACAATTTATTAACATATTTTTATTAACAAATAATATACAAATAGAGCACACTTTTAATCTAAAACGTTCATGCGTTTGACACGAAATGCTTTCAAAGCGTGTCATTCGCTCTAACGGAACGTTCCATGTAAATGGCTGAAACGAATCCGCGCGGGCGTCACTGACCTCTTACGCAACAGAAGTTTTTCTCGGCGGGTGGCGTCGGGGGCATCAGAAATTAATTTCTCCGAGCACGCACGCCTCGGCATCCGCGTTAATAAGTAGAGAATACCGCGTCTGTGTCACGTGGCTATCTCGGTCTCAATCTCCCCAGGCTGACTACCTTTCCTGACACATTTTCTAGGTGGCGAACCTCCTGGCACAAGAAGCATCGTGGCTTACTCCTGGGCGCGGAGATTGGCACTCGATTACAGACCCTCCAAGGAGTGCGACGGTAATGGAACGTACGGGACGACGTTAAATACGTTCAAGTTAGCCGACGCGAAGTGGCTCGAGACAATCCCTGGACAGCTCTTCCTGTACAGCGCCCACTTGGACCTAAGAGTGGCCGGTTATCCGAGCTTGAGGGTGATTGGCGTTAAACGTGGACCAGTCCCGACCTCTGGCCTTTTCTGCACCGTTTGGTGAGACACTTTCCGCAGACGGATTCACGCTATGCATAGTTCGCCCTACGCAAATGCCCCGGTCCTCCTGCTTCTTCCTGTTATGCTTTCGAGAGCCGGTTAGTTCTTTCTTGCGCAACACACTCTGTTTCCGCACCGACGTAACACGCCGCTACGCGCGCACCGTGCTCTTCTTTTTCCCGTCCACGTAATTATACCCTCCCGCGAATTCAACCGGGGGAACTCCGTGCCCCCCTGTGTCCAACTTCCTGCCCAGGCTTGCCTAAACTTCTCCCATAGACGGAAACGGCCGGCTGCTTCGTAGATCGGAGGATTATGCAAATCGGTCGCTCAACGAGACCTACAACGAGCAGCGAAATTGAAGCAATGGGACCACACTTCCACTGCTGTTTACTTATTACTCTCCGCTATTTGTTTACTTATTATGATGCGGCAGTAAACGATTCAAGGAGAACGCGGTTTCCCGTTTATTCAAGCTTAGGGGCGCGGGTCGCCGCACACTATGACGAGCCACACATACAAGAAAACCATATACGTATATTAGTTTTAGAGGTTTCTATCGACCAAAACTGACGCTTTAATATCGAAGTATGCAGTTCACAAGTGGAAAATTTAGATTCCGGAAAGACTAAACGACTGGGCTTCGGTTGTAGAAATATCCGTTTTGCAGTTATTGCGGAGATATTTGCAATATTCGGCCAGAGTGGTGTCAATCTCACGAGCATGACGTCACAAGATGGCCGCCGCTAACAGTTTTTCGTAAATATCGAGAGATATAGAG